AACTAGTTCAAGCAATCTTCAGCTTATCAAGTTGTAAAATTTCTCAAATTCCATATATTACTAACAAAGAAGACATCAATCACTATTCACCTATTAAATCCCATTCGACCATCCCAAGTTTTAGGCTAGATGCATGTACATATAAATCAGTCAAGTTTATAAATCTAATATAAAATTAGTATATATTTTGAAAATCTAATGCGTGTTTCCAATAGACATATCACAAACTTCAAACTAAATGCACTTGCATCTTCACTAATTTCTAAAAAAAATGCATGCCTAGTTAACAAGTAAGTTCATGATTTTTTTGAATTTAAATGTAACAAAGTAAACTTTAGGATATAACTCGTTGACTTCGACCCTAATTGATAGAATTTAGAGATATAAAACCACAATAACTGGTGATGTAAGAAAAACAGAAGAAAAATCATAGATCACCTTCAATCTTCTTGTAAATAAAATCATCTGAGAAGGCAGGTTCAAGAGAGCTGGCAACAATCAGCACGCGCGAGATCTTTAAACTTTTTAAAGCTTCCTTGTTGCACGCCACCCCCACTAACCCTAGGAAGAGCCCCTGCACCGAAAAAGTGGAATCTATATGCCCTTGTTGATGAAAACTCCGTGAAAAAAAAAGAAAAAAGAAATTAGATTCAAATCAAGCTTACCTCCTCGATTTGACAGGGAACGTTGTTTTCCCACACATACTTAGCTGCGCAAAGGGCCTGGAGAAAAGTTGCGATTCTCTTCCGTTGTACATTGCCCTGTGAAGACATTGTGGCAGCAAAGACTGTGATAAAGTATCTCCCCTCTCTAGCTATGGCAGGAAGCAGCCGGGCCGTGGTTGCGTCGCCAGAATGGAATCCAATCCCCGATCGCCTCTCTTCGGCTCGGCTGCTATGGTTTGTTTGCCGCTTCCCTGTCTGCAAACAAAGATCGAAGCGAACGAAAGGCGGAATCACGAAGGAGATGACGAAGGAGAGAGCACGTGGGTAAAATGCCGAAGGAGCAAAGCGGGGCCGCGGGGTCGATCCCTCGGCCATTGTTTAGCTCAGATTCGTGGCCGCGACAAACGAAACGCCGCGCCAAATGATTCTTTTTTGCGGCCTCCAACTGCTCCGCGCACAAAACAAAGCCTTAGCTTTCTCCCTCTCCCTTTTATCCACTCGTCCCGTATCTCTATTGTAGTCCCACTTCAGATTTTAACCGATCATCACTAACTGCCTACTCTATCACTCCCAATAGGCGGAGTACATGAATCATAAGTACAATTAATCTTGTGAACAAACAAGCCACTTTGGGGAGGCATGATCACATAGTAGAACTTGTCCAAAGGCGCTTATGAATTGGGTGGTGTGTTTAGTTGCCGCTAATGAGTTTGGAACACTGAATAAACTAAAGGTGCTAAATTGGAGAAAGGTGAGGTTGTGTCATTTCATCATGCCTCAAGACTCTCTATCATTGGATCCATTCCTTAATAAAACTTCCGAAGAAAAAACCGCGTGAATGACTAGTAGATCCTCATCAAAGATTTTATGGGAATCTGTACATTGATTCTTTTCACATTTTTTTCAAACTATATGCATCCAAAGGTGCACGTAAGGCTTACTTAGTTCATAAATAATATTTTATCTCATTCTATTAAGATATGTTTTGGTTTCCTCATTTTATATTTTCTTGCTCATCTTAGCACACTTAATGCATTTGGGCTATTTTATGCTTGAGGTGCCAGACATAGGTACATACACAAATGAGGTTAGGTGCTAAAATTAGATTGTTAAATGGCCTAATGAACTTATTTTAATTATGGGGATTTTTTTTGTAAATGTAAAATGAATGTAATTACATTAAAACAGAGTAAAATTTTAATATGGTCTCTTGACTCTTTGCAGAGGGTCTTTTTAGTCTCAGAGACTATAAAAATGTCAGTTTAATCCCCACACTCTTTTAATTTGGGCTAAAATAGCTCTCAGTGGGGACTGTTTCGGCCCAAATTTAAAGATTTTGGGTAGGGACTAGCATTCGGTTGGTTTGGATGGATCGGTTTTCAAATTGGTCAAACCAATTGTAATCGAAATCCAAAATGCAAAAACCAAATCAATCAAAATTTTGATAAAACCAAATTAAACAAACCAAAATTTAATTCGGTTTAAATGGTTCATTGATGAACTGAACAAAATTTAATTATTATGACAGTTTGACTATGAACAAATATTATGAATTACACATCTTATATGTATAATATTGATTTAATTTCTTGAATTATATGTTTACGTCAATCAGATGTTGCATATAATAAAATTTTTTATTTTTTTGATATAAAATTAAAATATAATAAGAATTTTTAATTAAGTTTTAATTTTTCGGTTTGTTCAGTTAAATGAATATTAAAACCATGTAGAAAACTGAAAATTAAAAACCGAATGTTCTGGTTTTAAAAATAAAAAAACTAAAATGTATTTTTCAAGCTGAACCGAATCAGCCAAACTTGATCGGTTCGGTTTGGTTTTTTGAATTTGACCAAATAATGGTTGCCCCTAATTTTGAGAGTACTTTGATGCTTTTATAGACTATGGGACTAAAGTGTTCCCATGTAAAGAGTTAATGGATTATTTTGATACTTTATTATAAGTATGTTGGTAGAAATAATTGTTTTTCTATATTACCATCACATTCCAAGTAAAAAAAAATTGTATTGTTAAAAATCTCACCTTACAATATGGTTAAACTACCCGGTTTCGTAGTATCTAGAGCTTAATATTTCTATTGTCTTTTTTTGTTCTCTAGTTCACATTTGTCATCATCCACACCCACTTTTGTATAATTGTATCTCCATTCTCTATCTCTTTAAAGCGCACTCCTCATCTTTAAGGTTTACTCATTTAGATGAAGTGATAATACTACCAATCCCGAAATCAGCTTGTAAAAACCCAAATTTACATCAGCAAATCACAAGGAGTCAAGGGAGGAGTGAGTCTCACAGGATTTACAAAATAATACATAAACCATCACAAAACAATAAGGTAACTAAACATTTATTGTATTTAAAACTTTTATAGAGTTGCTATGTAATCATTATCATTTGCCTTATCTTAACTGTTTGAAATTATACTTTTATATTCATTATTGTTAAAATGTATGTGGAATGTTGGCTCTATTTGAGCAAATCTTTTGTGAGAATGCATGAAGTGTATCTATGTCTTGATTTAGGTGAAGTTTGATGGTTTCTCCCAAAGGTTGCACAAAATTGGCTTATGACAATAAATGTTTCTATAAATCGTGTTTAGTTTAAATATTTTATATGCACTTTAAATAACACAATAAGTAATTCTTTTTATTTAAAAGTTGACATTGTATCCCGTTCCATTTAAAAGGCATGTATGTGGGAATGTTAGTCTTGTAAAATATGAGATGAATTGATGAACCTCTTCTAAGTGGGTATGTTATTGACGGAACAGAATTGGTAAAAAAAATAAAGATCCAATTGGAGACATTGACCATGTGCTACGAAGTTTTCATGTTGATCCTTCTTTTTTATTTACATAAAATATAATCATTTTTTCCTTTTATCACTTGTACTTTGCCTCACACAATGTTAATTGTTATTGTAAATACTAATATCATCTTTTTACTCCCCTGTTAATTCTCTATGTTCTTATTACTCCCCTGTTAATTCTCATCCTCCCCAAAGGGGATGCTAGCTGTACATGAGACGAGAAGAACCTCCTCTGAGCAGGAATACAACTTTTTGAATGAAATCAATAAAATAAGATACCATGTGGGCATGGAACAAGAACTGCTTAGATTTCTTATTAACTATTTTCTGGCAAAAAAGTATCATAATGTTTTCTTTTTTACTTTTTAGACTTTGCATGGTTATAAATTATGATATGATCATGACAGCGTTAATTTTCTCATGGTGAATCCTTGTATAAATAGTTTATCAGTGATGCCTTTGCTACATATAGCTCTTGATGCCTTCAACTTTATCATCATATTTAAGATTTAACTGTATTGGGGTTTTTTTTTTTTTTCCTTCTGACTTTCATAAATTATTGTTCAGTTGAGATTAACTTGTGTGCTATGATAAATAAGGTTGACATGACTTATGAGTATAGTACAGTTGCGAAGAATAAACCAACTATATCACCCACCGATAAAGGACTATCAAGTGGGCAAGCTAACATTTGTCCTATCTCTTGTCGTCAACAATGATGACTGAAGCATTTAATTGCATTCTAACATTTTAATTCCGAGTCATGGGCTTTATGGCACACTGTTAAGTTTGAGTTAGTTGGACCTTTGGTCTTAAAACCTTAATTTCACTATTTTCATTGGTTTGAGTATCTGAATTAGTGTATTGCATTAAGTGGTCCTACTTTATTTGGCATCACAACAAAATTTGGTTGTTCAAATCTTTAATGATGCTATTGGGCACCCAATGAGGAGGCATTAAAGAAATTTGTCTTTACGGTAAAGAATAATTATAAAGTCCATTGCGGTATATGGTGGATTGCTTAGTTATGAACTTATGTTTGATCTTGATTATTGATTTAGTCATGGGAGCTGTAGAACACCCATGGGCATGAGGTGGTTGGATTTTTTGCATGGAAAATTTGATGGGTCATTTTTTGTAAGCTATGCTTTTGGAGTAGTTGATTGTGTCAGATAGCTGATGTCATGACTCACGTACCATATGACATGTTTTTATAAGGTGTGGGAAATCAAAGGAATAATTTTTATTTCACCCCCCCTTTTGAATTGATCATACAAGATATTATATAGGAAAAGAAGGAGAAAAAAACTAGGAAACTATTTAACTAATTCCCTTAATTTAAGGGATTTACCAATTAATTCTAATTTTCTTAATTAAGAAAATTAGAATTAATTCTCACAACTTTATTTCCATCTCAGTCACATCTCGACACTCCCCCTCAAGCTGAGGAATAGATGTCTTCTATTCCCAGCTTGAATACGAGATCATGAAAACTTTAACTGTTCAGCTACTTTGTTAGAACATCGGCTAATTGTCTTTCTGATGGAACATAGGACATACACACTAACCCTTCCTCCAGTTTTTCTTTGATGAAATGTCTATCAATCTCAATATGCTTTGTCCTATCATGTTGTATAAGATTATGAGCTATATTAATGACAAACTTGTTGTCACAGTAGAGCTTCATAGGACCCTCCCATGGAATTCTTAAATCATCCAAGATGATTCTCAGCCACAGTAATTCACATAATCCTTGAGCAATAGCCCTGAACTCTGATTCTGCAGATGACCTTGCCACTACATTCTGCTTCTTGCTCCTCCATGTCACTAGGTTACCTCCAAGAAAAGTACAATATCTTGTAGTTGATCTTCTATCCACTATGGAGCCAACATAATCAGCGTCGGTGTAGGCTTCCAGAGTAAGAGTGTCATTCCTTTTGAACAAGATTCCTTTCCCCAGATTGCCTTTCAAGTAATGCAGTACCCTGTAGGCGGCCTGAAGATGAGGTTCTCTAGGATCATGCATGAATTGACTGATCATACTTACAGAATATGCTATGTCTGGTCGAGTGTCAGCAAGATATATGAGTTTGCCAACCAATCTCTGGTACATTCCTTTATCCACAGCTGGTTCTTCTTTAGCTTCTCCCAACTTATAGTTTGGATCTATTGGAATAGCGATTGACTTACACCCAATCTTCTCTGTTTCTGTCAATAAATCAATCATGTACTTCTGCTGAGATATGAAGATCCCCTGTGTGGAATATGCCACCTCAAGACCGAGGAAGTACTTCAATTTCCCCAGTTCCTTGATTTCAAATTCTTTTACCAGTCTCAGCTTCAATTCATGCTTATCTTTCTCATCATTTCCAGTCATTATGATGTCGTCCACATAGACTAAAAGACTAAAAGAGCAGTCACTCCCCCTGCCCCTGCAACTGAATGTTTAATGAAAAGAGTGTGGTCACCTTGACTTTGATTATACCCAGATTCCTTCATGACTTGTAAATCTGCCAAATCATGCTCTAGGAGATTGTTTTAACTCATAAATGGCTTTTTTCAGCTTGCACACCTTGTTACCTGTGTCCCCTTCAACTCCCGGAGGGATGTTCATGTAGATTTCCTCATTTAGGTCACCATGAAGGAAAGCATTCTTTACATCATACTGTAGCAGTTGCCAATTGAAGTGAGCTGCCAATGATAATAAGATTCTCACAGTGTTCATTTTTGCAACTGGAGTAAAGGTTTCCTGCTAATCCACCCCGTAAGTCTGAGTGTACCCTTTGGCTACTAACCTTACCTTATATCTTTCAAGGGATCCACCAGCCTTGTACTTTAATGCAAAAATCCATTTGCAATCAACAATGTTTTTTTTCTTTGGTTTGTCAACGATCTCCCATGTTATATTCTTTTCTAAAGCACTCATTTCCTCTTTCATATCGTCTCTTCATTCTTTTTTTGTCAATGCCTCAGACACATTGTTAGGAATGACAATGATGTTCAAACTCACAATGAATCTTTTGTGGGCTGGTGATAGGAGATACATGTTGAGATAGTGGATAGAGTGGATTGGATTCTTGGACTTGTGTCAGTTCAGGAACAGCCTTTCTCCTTGAATACACCTGAGAAAATCTCGGTAAATCATTAGTGACACTGGTTGGAGTAGGAGATAATAAGGGTTCATGATTAAGTGACTCAAATGTGATTGGTTCAGAGGACTCGGGTTCAGTTGGAATTGGAGGAGAGTTTGATCTAGGTTCAACAACACGGGCTGACCCATGTGGAAGGTCAAGGGTTTTAAGTGGTTCATAGGGCTCACAAGTATTATCTTTCATCATGGAAATCTCCCCTTGCAGAGAGGACTTGAAAAAAAAGAATTTATTTTTTGTGAAAGTGACATCTGTAGAGATGTAAAATTTTCTGGTATAGGGATTGTAACACTTATATCCCTTTTGAGTGGAGGAGTAACCTAGGAAAACACATTTGATGACTCTGGGATCTAGTTTCCCTCTATGTTGTTTGTGGGCATGAACAAAGGAAGTACACCCAAATACCCTGGGAGTGAGGCCATTTGAGGTTCTGAAGTGAGGGTAGAAGCTATTTAGGACCTCTATAGGGCTATTGTTTTCTAACACACGAGAGGGAAGTCTATTGATCATGTGTGTGGCAGTAAGAACGACTTCTCCCCAATAGGACTTAGGAACATTCCCTTGAAAGAGTAAGGCTCGGGTGGTGTTGAGTAAATGCCCATTCTTTCTTTCAGCTACCCCATTTTGTTGGGGTGTGTCTACACATGATGAGTCATGGATAATCCCCTGTGATTGAAAATAAGGTGAAAGAATTTGATTGAAGTAATCTCTAGCATTGTCTGTCCTAAAGCTTTTTATTTTGACCCCAAATTGATTTTGAACCATTGAATGGAAGTTAGGTATAACTGAGCTAACATCAGATTTTTGTTTAGAAAGAAAGAGCCATGTAACCCGAGTGCAATTATCAATTAAGGATACAAACCAATATGTCACTATTAATTAGATGAAAAGGATGAGAACTTCTTTTATTGCTAATAGGAAAAGATACACGATTATGTTTTGCCAATTCACAAATATCACAATTCTACTCAGAAATCATTTAATTCTTGGAATAAATGAGGAAACATTATATTTAGAACTCTAAAAGATGGATGACCAAGACGTACGTGATACAACCAAATGACATCTTTGTTTGAGAAACTAAGGAAAGATGAGGACAAATTGCTTCTGATTTTCTGGGATGGTTCAAGGTGGTAAAGAACGCTCATTTCCTTAGCAAGTCCAATCCTCCTCCCCGAGTCCTGTTCCTGAAAAACACAATAAGAAGGAAAAAAAAACAGCATAACATTTGAGATCATGAGCCAATTTTTGAATGAACACAAGGCTTGTTGACAGTTTGGGTACATGGAGAACGTTTTTCAGGATAAGACTAGGTGTGATATGTATATCACCAATCCCTGCAACTGTAGTTAAAGAGTCATTGGCCATGATAATTTTTCTATTACTTGGACATGGGGTATAGGCGTGGCAGCGTTGAGATGTGGGGGTCATATGGTCAGTAGCACCGGAGTCAATGATCCAAGAGTTGGTATATAATTTGCCTAAGACATTCATGCAAACAATTTTATCTGAAAGAGCTATCAAATATGCTCCAGAAGGCTTCTCAAGAGATCCCAATAAGTTTCTCAATTTTTCAATTTCTTCACTGCTGAATCCCCTTACTGTTGATTTTTCCTTCATATTGGGTTGCTTTGCCATATGCGCTCGAGGCCTTTATTTCTCCCCACGGTTGCCCCATTCTCGGCTTGGAGGTTTACCATTTAACTTCCAACACTTCTCCCTTGTATGCCTTGGTTTCTTGCAATAAGTACATCAAAGATTGTCTTTGTTCTCCTTCCCTTGATTATCATTCTTTGACTTCTCCTGATTTGTGTTTGCTGCTAAGGCTGACCCATCCATAGTATGTGGTTCTAGCATGACACTCCTCCGACTTTCTTCTGCTCGGATTAATGAGATTGTCTCTTCTAGAGACGGTGTATCCTCCTTGCCGAGGATTTGGATTCTAACATGATCAAATTCAGGATTCAATCATGCCAAAAAATCATATATTTGATCCTTCTCAATGAACTTCTTCAAGGTG